TCAACGAATAGTGCAGAACATCAGTACTTGTACTTCTTTACAATGCATTCATCATCATCATCATAAGGTCATCAGTCCTAAGACTGGTTGGACACGTACCTCCACTCTTTCCTATCCTGAGCTAAACTTCGCATTTCCCTAAAACTAGAACAGCCCACATCCTTGACTATTTGCGAAGAGTAATCTAATCTAGGTCTACCTCTACCCCTCCTAACTCCTGTTTCTGCCTCTAATATGTCTCTGACTAGACCTTCATGCCTGAGAAGGTGTCCTACCAACCTATCTCGCCTATTTTTTATTGACTTCCATAGAGTCCTCTGTTCTCCTATTCTTTCCAATACCTCTTCATTTCTAACCTTTTCTACCCACGATATCCTCATCATCCGCCTATAACACCACATTTCGAACGCTTCTAACCTTTTCTTTTCCGCCGCTCCCACTGTCCATGTTTCGCACCCGTACAACGCCGTGCTCCAAACATACACCTTTAACAACCTTTTTCGAATTTCTAAATTAACCGTTCGCGAGCATAGAAGTGACTTCTTTTTATTAAAGGCGACACGACCCTGCGCTATCCTCTGCTTTATATCCCTACTACTCCTTCCATCCTCACTTATCTGACTTCCTAGGTATCTAAAATCAGCCACTTCTTCTAATTTTTCGTCTCCTATCTTTATATTCGCTCTTTCCCTACTTTTTCTTCCCTTGCATACCAGTATTTTAGTTTTACTTTTATTTATTTTCATACAGTACTGATCTGTCAGTACCGCTTCCATTTTATTTATTAATAATAATATAACCACCTGTCACAAGAAGCTTATAACAGCAATAGAAAACGCAAATGGCAAAACGGCAACTGTAATGAAAACGTTTCCACAAGGATACTGGACTACAAACATGTCACTCTCCTTTTGTATATTTCGTGCCGAAAGCAGTTTCGCAGCAGTTCTATTAATTAATAATATCCTTAACGACGATAAACATCATCCTCAAGACCCATCTTCAAGTGCGAACGCAAAACGACACCTTTCCAATTACAGCGAGTACAATAAGCTAGTCTGACATCCTGCAGTTGGGTCCGGCAAGCTGCCCCCTCGTTAATTGTTTTTGGAACTTTAAATTACTCTACTCGTGTGGTCGTCAATAACAATAGATTATTCGTTTTTATTTTTTTATAAAAAATTAAACAACTTTTAATTTCCAATCTGGCGTCCTTCAGTAGAAGACCAAACTTTTGTGCTTTTGATTAGACATTCAGTATCGTTTTCTTAATTAGATTTTTTTCAATAACTTTTATTAATTACCTTTTTCGATTGGACCCGTATTTATGTCTGCTGCGATTTAAACAAAACCTTCTTTTTCTATTTTAGAGTGCCCTCTATGGCAAATCAAATTTAGATGTTATAGACGATTTTGTATTAAAATAGGGAACAAGTTTTGTTTAAAAAAATTTTGGATCAAACTTATAGGTTGACGACAATGTGAGTATCGCATGCTTTTTGAGCCACCCTATACATAAATATTTTTAGGCGTAAACATAATGTAGGTACAAATAGCAAAAAACTTGATGTAAACAAATTTAACTAGTTTAAGAAAAAAAATTGTGTTTTTAATGTTCGTTTTCGTAAGAACAGTAGTAAACTGTAGGGAAGTGACATAACTACTAATGGGTTGGAGTGATACGTTGTTTGAATCCCGTGGGACCAGTGGCCCTTTGAAGTATCTTTTAGCAGTTTTTAGTACGAAAAAGACTTGGTTGACTTAGTTTGTTCAACATTCAACAAACAACAAACTCATGATTACATTGGCTTGGAAGCAGTTTTTCCACTTCCTACCAGTTCTTATTTTTTTCAGTAAAATTATTTGAGTCATTTTTTTTTAAGAGTCCAAGAATCTTCAAATTTTAGACATGGGTTTCACTGTATGGAGTATGCTGGAGAAGACCACATGTTGCGAAAGAGAAGAATGTCACAACGTCAACAAGTTTGTCTTTAATTAGCCTATGAAGTTATCATCTTCGGACAAGATATTAAATCCAAGACATTTCTATTATACTTTAGTTAGCACAAACCACTTGTTTCACGGATAAAACTGAATGACGATGCCACACATGTTAGGCCCGTTATTAAATAATTAAATATTACATTAAAGAACAATTTACTGATGTGTTAAGCCACTTTCAAATAATATAATTGTAAAAAATAAGAGATACTAAAAATATTACAACAAAACGTTTGACATAAATACCTCCATTATTAACATTTTTTAGGCGCTGCTTCGCTCGCGTTGGTCTCCTAAATACATGTCAAAGAGCATGGAAAATTCAATAACTTGATAAATTTGTTTTTAAGTCCCAACCGGAATCATCAGGATAAAACTAAATCTTCTAAAGATACCCTATGTCCTTTTCTGTACTCTCGACAATGTACGTATGTACAAAATTTCATGATGATCGGTTGAGCAGTTAAGGCGTGAAATTGTAATAAATAAACGAACTCACATTCGCATTTATAATATTAGTTAGGAATACAAAAGCGAATTTGTAACAATTTCTCAGTTAGCATGATATATTACTGCAGTACTTATTCATAGTAGCAACGTGCATGTAAATTGCAACTTACACAAATCTCTTATTTATATAGCAATCCATTCACCGTTTCGGCGCCTATTTTTGAAATGCTAAAGAAAAGAAAGACCTTCCTTTGTTACTTCCGGTCTGCTTATGTCAAACATTAGAAATATTCGAATTTATGAAATAAAAACTCGACTGTTAAAATAATTGATTTATAATTTTATTTTTATTGAAAGCTTTTCGACCCTGCGCTATCTGCTTTATATCCCTACTATTCCATCTATCTTGACTTATCTAACTTATTCTTCTAATTTTTCGTCTTCTATCTTTGTATTCGCACGTTCCCTACTTTTTCTTCCCTTGCATACCTGCATTTTTGTTTTACTTTTATTTATTTTCATACAATACTGTTTTGTCAATACCGCTTCCGTTTTATTTAAAGCTATCTCTAACTCCTCTTTGCTAAATGTTAATACTGCTATATCATCTGCAAATCTAAATATACCAATATTTTGCCTTTGTTTTCTATTCCTACCGCCGTACTATCTTCAATTATTTTGATCGCGTCTTCGATGTATAGACTAAAAGGTAGCGGCGACAGTGTGCATCCTTGTCTGACTCCCTTTCTAATAATGACTTCTCCACGTTGCTGCTCCAGTTCCATAACTACCTGTTGCTCTTTATACAAACTAAGTATCACTCTTCTACCTCTTTAATTTCATCTTGTCTCATTTAACATTGTCTTTTTCTAAACCTATGTACGCACTCTTTCTTTTTTCTATCGTTTTCTCTATTGTTACCCGTAATGCTAGAATGGCCTCCCGCGTTCCTCTATTTCTCCTGAACCCAATTTGATCTTCCCTTAATAGTTCTTCGCCTAAATATACGATCTCTAACATGCATGTATTAGAATTTCCGTTTATATCCCATCTATACTTGGCGCCTTATTACTCATTAAGTTTTTTAAAGCTACTTCAAACTCTTCTCTCATTATAGGATAACCTACCTCACCTATTTCCACACTATCTTCCTTCTCTAATATATCTCCCAACTAATGGCTTGTGTATAGGTTCTCTTAGTATTCTTTCCACCTGTCTGCCTTTTCCTCATTTTCTATCAAAATGACCCCTGTCTGGGTTCTTATATTATTAGTATTGTACCCTACCTTTCTAAAATTCCTTTTAATTATATTATAACCCTCATCCGTTTTACCTACTTCACACTTTTCCGCTACTTCATTACACCTCACATCAATCCACTGTTTCTTCGCAGCCCTACACTTTCTAATTATTTCCCACTTTATCGCTTTATATCTTTTTTGCCCTTCTTCGCCTATCCCCTTGGTGTATTTCTGCCTTTCTTCCATTAGTCCAATAATTTCGTTTTTTATCCAGGGTTTCCTACATTCATTTTGTTTAAGACCTAATATATCTGTAGCTGCTGACTTTAGGCACGTTTTAATGCAGTTCCATTCTGTCTCTATGTTCCTTTCATTCGTTTCTCTCGCTTCCTTTAGTATTCCGTCTGTCCTTGTACCTAGCCTATCACGCGTTTCGTTACATTTTATCTTTTATCATAGAAACTACAAAATTACGTATATACTATTATCACACTGGAAACAATCAATATATTTACAAAGACTGATTAAGTTTTATAGTCTACATTCAAAAAGGTCCTGATAAGTTAATTGTTTTTACCCCTCGCTCTTCATGTTATTTATGGTAATTTTACGGAAAATCGTAGAATTCGATGGGACAACTCGAAATATCTTTTGTCATAGCTTTGGTTTATCAAGGATCAATTTTATACATATGGAAAATGTTGCTTATTTTCCATTACCTACCGAATACTCTAAACAAATAATAAAGTATGGTCCTGGGGTATCAAACCCAAATTTGAATGCAAGATTTGCGGTTTACACTCATATTGATTAATTATTATTATTTTTTAACGCTCTTATTCATTAAAATTGTGTGAAGGTGTGTGTCTTTTGCAAGGATGTGCGAATATTCGAAATTTTCGAATTTTATCTTACAAATTGCTACATTTTCCAATAATTCATATTATTTATTCACTAATAATTATAATAATAATTATTAGTGAATAAATAATTCATATTATTTATTCACTAATAATTATAATAATAATTATTAGTGAATAAATAATTCATATTATTTATTCACTAATAATTATAATAATAATATTTTTTAACATACTCTAGGGAAACTTATTAAATAACTGTAACTATTTCTTGAAAATTCTGGTTTATTTTAGTAAATTCATGTTATTCCATGTTTTTCGAATTATTTGAAATTTCTATAAACTATTATAGTATTCGCACAGGCCTTGCTTCCTTAATTTAATTGTTTCACGGAATTTTGTGATATGTCTGACGGGACTAGAAAGTGTAAAAATGCCCTTTTTCCAGGAGGAGGATGCGAAATTCAACCAACGTATACCTCACTGCCTTAGCTGTAGCAGATCTTATTTATCTTTTTTTTGTTCTTATATTATCATTTGAACATTATCCCAATATTCACGATATAAAATACAGCCTGTTCTGGAGGTTTTATGGAATAAGTCATTGGTTTTGTGATGCGGCAAGTAAGTAGTCTCGTTCGTTGAAAAAAGTGTTACATAACTTTATATGTGCATAATAACTTTTATTACAAATAAGTATATTGCATGTAATAACGTATATTGTGTGTTGCGTATATAGATAAGCTTAATATGTTAAACGAAAAAAAAAATGTTGGGTGTGCATATAAAAGAATATTGAGATTTTTATCAGTTACAAGCCATAATATATCTCATCGTCAGATGAAATATGCACGGTGCTGCTTCAGGGACAGAAATAAACATCATGGACGATAGCTTAGTTGTGCGCATGCGCATATATTGCCTCCCTTATATGCCGCTTTTTTTCAGTGCACAGAACTACGAAAAGAACATCTATATGGGTGGCCATCCCCGACTTGAACGTGAGATTCATTATAGTTTTACTTAATAATATTTCATAGTAGTCAAAATAGTGAAAACTAATGTATTTAACAACCGACGTTCACTGGTACAGAACCGGTGACTAAGAGGCTACTTACCGATACTGTACCGGTAACAAAAAAAAAATATTCGCCTGTACCTAGCCAGAAATAATACTTTATTGTTGCTATAAGTTGCATTGACCTTGAATTAGAAGATTACGTTCATGATTTTTTAATTTAATTTAAATAAGTAGATTTAATTACCGTATATTTCAGGGTATAAACACCCCCCCCCGCCCAGTTTTTGACTAAAACTTTTGCATTCATGTATATTCGTTGCATAAGCACCCTTTCAAATCTCTGTAGCAGAAATGGAATTTTTGAATTTTGCATAAGTAACACCCCTGCTCATTGAGGCTTAATATCGTGGAAAACTACTAACTGTAAAAATTTTAAGTTCGGAAATCGTTTAAGTGCACCCAGCCTTAAACGATTCTTAAAGTCTGAATGCACTACGTTCATTAATCTTAAAGTTTCATAAACCACGAAGAAGGTGTTCTATGGATACCTTGAAACACTAATCAATAATGTTTCATACAACGTTCGGGCACCGGTGAATAGCTTTTTCCAAAAATACATTATTTATGCAAGAATATATATTTAACAATTAATTGTCGAAATTATGAGAAAAAAGCAACTTTGATTTTAAAGCAAGATTCTTATGAATATATGACAAATATTTCCTCAAGAACCACAAACAGCATGGTGAACGCCATCTGTGGCTAAGTGCAAATACAAAAGTGGAAACCATCCCTACATGGCAGGCACATAATAAAAATTGCACAAATAAGAAGTCCATAATGGTCAGCGTTCTGTCGAGATTGCTATACGCGGAGCGCGATTTCGATCTCGTTAGATCTCATTAGCGATTCGCAGTCAGTTCCGATAGAACACTGGCCAACTCTACCTATTGCCTCGACACGGCATTTTATGAAGTACCACAAACGGCGTGGGGAACGCCATATGTACCTTTAGTGTACATATAGTGGAAATCAGTATACTCAACAAGGTACATTTACGTTGGTGAACATCTACTTGCTGAACTACATCCACGGCGTAGCTCATCCCTAGTCACTAACAAAAATTGAACAAATAAGAATTCCGTAATGGTTAGCGTTCTATCGAAATTGCTAGAAGCGGATTGCGATTTCGATCTTGTTAGATCTAATCAGCATGTCGCAGGCAATTCCAACAGAACACTGACTAACTCTACATGTTGCCCCGTTGCCTGTTACATTTTATGATGTACCACAAACGACGTGATGAACGCAATCTGTGGCTCAATGCAATTCAAGAAGGCAGTCTGCCACGCGCCGATGAGATCCAACAACATCTATATTGCGATCGCGTCTTTCTGTTTCGACAAAACACTGATCATTATGAACTTCATATTTATTCAAATATTGCCTGTTTTATTAATGAGTTTACATTTATGAGTTCAAAAAATGTGTATCGTGGGTCTAAATCTAAATTATATACGGCCCCCGGCATTATAATTTATTTCCAAAAAGGCCTGTAAAATTATTTAGGTTGGCCACCCCTGGTCTAGAGGTTTAGACCATTACTTAACATTCAGGAGGAAACCACTTCGATTCCGCGTCTATCTGCCTGCCCTTGGTCCAAGTTTTTCTGTGGTTTTTTTAAATCACATAGGTAAATCCCGGAACAGTAATATTCCAAAGGCCATATTTCACCCTCTTCTGTCTTCATTTCGTCCGTCTCACCTTTCTCATCCCAACCACTACCCACCTATTCCCAGGTCCTTTTGCCTTACTTTTGGCGTAGTCCGTAGCAATAGAAGCTGGTGGGAATGCAACACCTAAAAGTATTTTTTATATGCTGGAGGGTACAGACATCCAATAGTTTTTAAATCCACTTTTCCACGTCATAATTAAGAAAAAAAAGACAGTAGGGCTTTGATGTATATATATATATATATATATATGTTTTGGAAATAAACGATACTTAAGAACATGATGAAAACATANATAGCGTACCCAGAGATCTATCTGGCTAGTAAGATCTTTCTCTCTTTCTTAACGTGACCTCATTTATTTATTTATTTATTTATTTAATAAGGAAGTACATGGGATTAATCCCAATTATACCATATTATAAGAAGTAACGTACGATTCAATTAACACTGTCGCTTATTATCATTAATAAATTCTATATTACTATACTTACACTACAAAATGTTAAAACTAAAGGTCACTAATATTCCAAAACTAAATATAAAATTTATTCATATGATGTAAGTTTGCTTTTTACTTTACATTTAAATGAAACAAAGCGTTCATGGAACCAATTTACATCTTCTGACAGGTCATTTCCTAACTGCAGCAACCTATCTAGTACTGAATTATTCGCGTAATTTCGTGGCATGTAGATTTCTATCCTATCGAGTAGACAAGAAGAGTTCACATAGCCATGTAAAATTTTATATAAATAGCAAGCATCAGTATAGCTTCTAAGAGATGACAAAGAACACAAGCCAGTGCATATTAATACAATTTAAATCGAAAAACCAAAAAAATAGGACGTAATCGCACTTATAAAGACGAAGCAAATGCGACACCAACTATTAAAATCGATTCACAAGTTCCCGAGCAGAAATTTTTTAATCTTAGGAATCTTAAGGAAAGCCTTATTATCTGAATCAAATCGAACTTTTGTTAAGCGTACGTTATTAAGGCATTGAAATATAGCTTTGATCTGGTACTAATACGAAAACACCTAGTAGGCTGTAGGTATTTGGTTAGGTCTTGATGTAGAATGCCTCATTCAACTCTTATTACGGAATCCCTTATTATCTGATCTTGATGCGGTATGTTTTTTTCTTAACCTAGTACCTACCTAAGTCACGTCTTATTTGATCTTATCTGGTCTAATAAAATTTACCTGATGTTACCCTAGTAGATCACATTTTATTCGACCTTATTTGGGCTTGATAAGTTTTATGCCTTCTTTCCCTAGTTGATCACGGCATATTTCATCTTATTTGTGTCAAAGAGATAATTAAATTAGATCATATTTTTTATTCTAACTTATTCAAATTTAATTTAAGTTTATCTAACAAAAAGTTAATGGTAGTCAGTATTCTGTCGAAACCGTTTCAAAAGAATACAGAAAGAAGAAAAGAACAGCTTTTAGACAGCATTTTATGAATTACTACAAAGATCGGAGTGAATATCATCTGTAGCACATTGCTACATTTCTGTGAGATAGAAAAATGTTTGAAAAGATTCATAAGGATATCGACTTGTCGAATTGAGTCAACGGTCTAACTACCTCTACGTAGTCGACATGTAAACAAATAGAAAAAAAAATTCATGGCGGTCAGTATTCTGTCGAAACATCAGACACGGATTGCAATTTCGATCTCACTGGATCTTTTCAACACGTAGTAGAAATATAGCAATTTGCTACAGAAGGCGTCCACTACGCTGCTTGTGGTAATTTCTAAGTTTATCTAATTGACCCGTAACGAATTAAATGTGTTCCAACTTCTGTGAATTAGATATGAGATATGCTACGTCATGAATATTCGTTTGTGGGTACCTAGGTAAAATTCTTGATAGGTGATGTAAATTGTGATATTTTGAAGAATGATTAAATTTAAAAATATTTTGGAACTTTATTACAATATTTAGTCAACGTTTTATTAAAATTTAAACGAAATCGTCTGAAAAAATCCTCTCTTAATATCTTTATGGTATTTATGTTGAAATATATCTCTTAATATTCAATTAATTTTTTATTATCTACAAATATTTGAAGTCAACTTTCTTAAATTTTAAAATATTTCATGCACAATTTGAAGAAATATACTTTGCTCTAACAAAAGTAGCTACGTATCTGTTTAAAAAAAGTATTTCTGAAAAGATAAAATTTGATTTTAAGTGCAATATTTTCATACAGATATACATAAAAATTTATGGCATTCACAAATGGTGATGCGGTGGTAGCGCCATTATATGTAAGATTTACGCCCTTGGCACTTGTTTTCTCTGTAGAATCTTGATAGTCGTGATGTAGGATTGTCTCTCCTTCTTAGGCAGTATACTATCGCTACGTTCCCTAAGAATGTCAAGCACAATAGCTAGCGAAACGTTGGATAATGGCTCCACCGGTGTTCTCACCAAAGCAGAAACAACCTCGATCATCAGACCTGCCGGCTGAGAAAGCCTAAATCTTTTTATGGTTTCAATTTTTTTGGATGGTGTGCATTATTTTTAGTTTTGTAATATAACACGTAATTGTTGACTTTCAGTTCGTAAAGATGACTTATAACAGTAGGAGAAATACTATTTTTTGGTGATGACCTTAACAATTAAAATTCAAGAAAATATCTTTATGATTCAGATTTTTTACTACTTAAAATTTTAATGTGAGTTTTTCTTAATTCTAGCTTTAAATGGTAATGATTTGACTGCCCTTTTTAGGCATTTTTGTCAGTTAATTTAAATATTTCGTCAGATAAGTTCTCCTTACTTGTTAACGTGTTCGTTGAATTTATTTGAACGAAAAATGGTAATGTTTGAGATTTAAGTTGTAAAAGAA